TCAAAACAGTACAGAAGGGGAGAATAAAAAAAAGACCCCAAAGCCAAAGCATGACAGGTTCGGAACCTCGCAGTGAGGCACGTAGGTTGGCTTGATAAAACTGGAGTCTATCTCGACGCTTCTAGCCGCGGTCTGGTGCCTGCACACCTACATATATATATATATATGAACAGTGAGCTAAAGCCCAGTGAATAACACAATGCGTAAAGGGGTTAAGAATGAATGTCCTTACAGTAATGAAAATAGTTCATTGATTCAGTATTTCAGTCGTTCAGTCAGTACGGTCATATGTGGTACATCCATTAGCATAATAGTACAGTAACACAGTAGGTCTTAAAAAACCGAACAGTAGTGATGGCCATCAGTCAGTAAACAGTAGTGGTTCTAACAAGGGAACCGACAGAGATCTCTGTAACAGTAACAGTAAACAGTAGGTGCCAAGGATGCCACAATACAGTCCAATATACAGGACATACATTCATTCAATTAACAGTATTCAATTCATAAACAGTACAGTTCAGTTGTTCAGAAAATAGTCATTTTTGAACATATCTTTACACAATCGTTACTCACAGAGTTCTGGGCTACAGTAAAGCTAGAGCGCGTCTCCTCAGTCACCAACCCTATACAGTTAACAGATTGAACACACGCTAAGCTACATAGTTGGGAAAGATAACAACTTAATCCCTAATGCCTCGGTGTGTTTCTACATCTATATCCTCCTTAAGATGTCTTAAACTAGGCCTAAGGATGCATAGAATGAGATGAGGATGTAAAGATGCACTTTAAAAGCATTTTCAGAATTTTCAGAAAACATGGGTCACGCTCGAGCGTAGGTTACTCCGCTCGAGCGGAAATGCAGACAAAGGTTTCCGCTCGAGCGTAGGATTACCTGCTCGAGCGTTCTGCAAAACAGTCAAAAGTGCTGGATAGGCGAAAATCCCGCTCGATTGGGCGCTCGACACCCGCTCGAGCGCGAGACACAGTTTCCCGCTCGAGCGTCACTTTTTTTTCAGCTCGAGCGTCACTTTTTTTCCGCTCGAGCGGAATTCAAAATAGAACAAAAATACTGGGAGCATGATTTCCACGCTTGAGCGCCAGTCACCCCGCTCGAGCGTGAGTCCAGATTCTGGAAATTCCATATTTGAACCTCAAGCTTAAAACCAAGTTTTCAAACCATAAATTCGATCCTCTTGGGCCAATTTTCCAAAAAACACATCAAAACTCATACTTTAACATGATTCAAAGCTCAATTTGCAAAATTAAAGCCCAAGGGTGTTTCAGATAAACTCAATTTGAAACCAATTTTCATGAACAATATTTCAAACATGACATGCATAAGTTTAACTCAATTCAAAGCTTCAATTTCATGCTCTAGTGAGCCAATTCTTCCAAGGACAAGATGAAATCATGGACTTAAACACAATATGAACATGCATGTAACATTTTACCATGAAATCAACTCGCAACTCAACAATTCAAACATGCATGCATGGAATGAGCTTCAATTTGACATGCTAGGACTAGAACATGACTCAATTCATCAATTTAGACATGAACAATGCAAGAATCCACTTAAAAACAATAATGAGAGGTTGAATTCCTCACCTAGAGCTTCAATTACAAGTATAGAAGTCCAATTAGGCAATTCTCTTATGATCCTTTACAGTCTTCCAAGCCAATTCTCTAGAACAATTCAACTCTCCCTCACTCTCTTCCTTGGTCGGTTGAAGACAACAAAAAAGGCTGATGAGGTGTGTTTTGATACAAAGGAATGAGTCTCAAGAGTGCTAAGCTAGTGGTCCACTAGCGGTGGCAAAATGGTGAATAAGGCCAACTATGCAATTAAGCTCATTTTAATCTAATTTAATCATACCTAATCAGTTTTCAGGTAAATATACCATAAAATCCTATAAATTATGAGGATCATGAAACATTAATCGATTTCCGGTTCGGCCGCCGATAAGGCCTTCAATTAGCAGTTCAAACATAAAAACACAAACAGATAATCAAGCAATCAAACAGATAGACATACAATTGAACAGATATACTCAGTCAATTCAGTTTCAATTTCAGTCAGTCAATTCAGTAGTTTATTCAGCTCACTTATCAGTCAGTTTAACGGTAATCAGTAGTTTATCGGTAAACAGTAACGACGGTTGTTACAGCTATTACTTAGTAAATAATTGAAAATGATAAAATAGTCATTTGAACATTTATCATTCTCCATAATATCCCAAACAAACATTAGATAACTAAAAATAGTCTAATCCAGACATACAATCCCATGACTAAACAAACATAGGATACAAATGTAGTCTAACCAAATAGTCCCGGGACAATGTATTCCAGGACTAATAGTCCGATAGATTACAATACCCCTTATCCGGTCCGTCCAAACAAACGCACCCTAAATGTAATTATGATTTCATTTCCATCCTGCTATAATTTTAAGTAAGACAATCTTCATCATATTACATCATACATAATTCTTTTAGGACTTTTAAACAATGCCAATAGAGGAAACATTTTTATTTTCTGCCTGTGAATCCATGTTGTTAGATTTTCTGATAGCAAGGGTTCAAGTCATAGAAACGAACTCTTCAGAAATGGGGTAAGATAACACACATCTTTAACAAAAGTCTCGTGTAATAATTTGTTCTTTTCTTTTGTTTACATGTGACTCTAAGAAAGCCATCGTTGCTTCTAATTAATGGTTACTAGTAGGACTAGTTATCATTTGAAATTTTTTTCTGCGTGCCAAATTCATCAGAATTTTGGTTTTGGCATAGAAACATCTAACAAAAAGGCGAAATTGGATCTAAATGATGTAGCTTTACTAAATAATGAGACTTTCACGCCAATAAGTCGGAAAACATGCACATTGTGCACACAATAGCGATGTTTCAATCTTTAGATCCTGGCAGATGGAGGTCTGGAACAGTTTACTAATCAAAACAGATCAATTTTGTGGCTTAATCTATTTAGAGTTCACAAAGGAAAGGCTAGTGCGAACTTGTGATTTCGATAGGCCGAAATCAAGTGAAAAGCAAGGAGCTTGCAACAGTTAAATCACGATATTTGGGTGAGCTCATATTGACATAAGGCTGCCTCTTTTCAATGCTGGGAGTGACGCGAGCCTTGCAAGGGCTATCTATTCGATTGGGGAGATGGCAAGTGGAATGCACCCAAACTTATAGGCAATGACCTTTCCAAGTTGCCACATTCACGTATGCCACAGGTGCTCTCACATGCAGTTTCCCCGGCCTGCCTGTTCAGTATGCGCTTGCAAGCGGCCAGGATGTACGTCTTACAAGATCCTAGACTAGTCATTCCAAAATCACAAGCAGCAAAGTTACTAATTACACTTCAATTGCATTGTAGTTGACAAACAAATGTAACAGGTTTCTTTTTAAAAGAATCAATGTTGGATGTGTTTTTATCACTGCTATATAATCCACAAACGGGCCTTTTGCTTTTGCTTTTGCTTTTGCCTTTGTTTTTATAAATTATTCTGTTATTTTGTCATTCATTAGGATGATATGAAGATATTTATACATGGTTTTTGTAGAATATTTGCAGTGGACAAAATTAAAAAAAATAAAATAAAATAAAAACTTTTAAAAACAGATAATACAGTGAGCTCATGAACAGAAGTAATGACTGATGCATTTGATAGGCATACCAGGCAGAAATTAGAACACAAAGGAGGATAAAACATGTTGCAATGTGTGTAAGGTTGTGTGACCATACCTATAGAACAACCATGATGCTTATGTTTTAGTGCAACTACTTGTGTTCCTCTTGATTTTCATTTAGACTTTCTAAATTTAGTGATGTATAATAGAGATGATTGGCTAATAATTAAAGAAAATGTAAAGAAAAAAATTATTTTAGATATTTTGAATTATTGTCACAACATTAAAGTAAATCTACTTTTTAAAACTAAAATAGCAATGTTCATAAACTAAACTAGCAATAGACTTATTTGGAGTACTCACTCTCTCAAACATCATCATACAATTTGATGTAAACAGTCGGTAAAAAGAGGAAGGAAAAAAAAGAGGAAGAAAGTTTGTACACAAATTTTTTTAGAAAATAAAGCTCAAATTACATTGGTAAGCTTTGTAATTTGTTTCTTATTTGAATTTGGTCATTGTAATTATATTTTTATCAATTTTAACTTCGATTTTTTTTTCACATTGTGTGAATCTTAGTTTAATTAATAATTTTTTTCAAAAATTATATTAAAATTGAGGGCAAAATAGTTCATTCCTCTATCCAAAATGATTGATGGGTTAACATCTAATTCTAAGTAGTCCATTTTTTTTTTTTGAATTAACCAGTTGCCATTGATTTATATGCAGTTTCCAAATGAAAAATATCAATTAAACTTGATATGATATAAAAATTTAAAATGTCAAAATTAATATAATTGAAATTAAAATGACCAAATTGACAAAGAGAGACAACTGTGTTGAGTCCTATCACTTTTAAAATAGTAAAAATGACTATTCAAGAGGGGTTTTAAAAAATTATTAGTAAAAAATAATTAAAATATTTATGATTTTAATTATTAATATTTATAAAATTTATCACCTTTTTGTAATATTTTTTTCTGCACACCACTAGTTATATTTTCAAGATTGGTTTTACTAATTATAAAATTGTACATAATTTTTTATTTATTTATTGAAGGAAACATTACAAACAAGGTCAAATTTGTCATTATATCAATCAAAGAGAAAATCGGTAATTCTAGATATAATTAGGGGGTAGTTAGGTAAATACACAAACAAGTAGAGGCAGCGAGTTCCGCTTATATCTCTCTCTCTCTCTCTCACTCATCGTTTCATTTCTGTGGAGGAGCAAGACTAGTAGAGCTGCAGTCTCAGGTAAAGTTAAAGAGCTAGGGTTAGGGTTTCAAATTCAATCTAGCAAAAGCTCATATTTTTATCTATAAATGTAATTTCTCTCTCTATTAATCTCAAATTGTTCGAACTTCTCATCACCTTTGTCTTGCTATTTTCCCAATCAATTCGTGAATTTTCTTGTACTGTAGTCTGTCTGTTGCGAATCTGACTATGTTGCTTTTAGTTGTTGATTCTAGTGTTACGATGATCATGATGCACATGTTTTCGACGTGGTGTTTGTAAATGAATTTCATAGGGTTCTGGGTTTGGGGATTTTTTTCAATTAGCGCCTGTAATCACATGTTTTGATATTATGTAAGTATATATATATATATATATATATGGAACTTGATTACATAAGTAAGTGTATATGTCTATTTATCAATGCATGGGTCTATAGGTATTTGTATGTATAACATTTATATAGTGAAGAGTGTTTGGTTGAGGAGTTGATATTGCCATAGGCTGATCTGTATCTTTTTGCCAATTGAATGCTTCTTCTGCGGTTGGCTTGGCTGAATGCTTTTTTTGCTTATGAAGAGTTATTTTGGGCCCTTGATTGTCTTAAATTTGATAGTTTCCTTTTGCTGCGTATGCTACATACCCGAGATTAGCTTATTTTATTTTTTTTATTGTTAATTTTTTCTTCATGATACCGTGTGTGACGAAGTGGAAATTACTTAAAACTTAAAAGCCCATTTGGGACAATATGGTTTGTCATATATGGGAAAATTACAGTTTTTCTGCTCAATATACAGACTGTTTTATGAACTACTTACATTGATTTGGCTGTGACTGGTGCTCACCAATGAGGTAATTACCCTTTCTCATAACTTGGATGTGGGTATTATTTGAATTATCCAGTTCATCGAGTGGGTCAACACTTTATTGAGTCTTTGCTTTTCCAAACGGCTAATGTTTAGATATATGTTTGAGGGCTATGATTACTACTCTGTTGACGTGATTTCTTCTGGAAATGATGCAAGAGTCCAATATTTAACCATGAGGTACATAGATGTGATTAATTAAGTCTCTTGGATTGGATACTCTATAAGCTTAAGTAGATTGACGTGTTCTGTTTCCCATAATTAAAGGTTTGGATGAAGGTGAGAAGGAACTATGATCTGAAGTTGTTGTTTAATGTCTGCACAGGTTTGCAGTAATTTATATGTTGGCAGGTGAGACTGTAACTAAAAGGGTATGTGGCTTGAAGAGACACAATGTTCTATGATATGAATCACATTGGTAGATGATATGTTCTTACTAAGCCAGCCAACCTCAAATAGCTTTGACCTAACATTTTGTAGAGTTTTGTTTATGTCATGTAATAGAGGATTGGAAGTATCTGTGGGAATCTATGCAGTTTGTCTAATAACTAGTTTTTTTCTTCTTCCCCCCCTTCTAAATATTCATTTTGCACTCTATAGTTACATGTGTAATATTCATTTTGCACTCTATAGTTACATGTGTAATGCTTGGCATGGTATGGGTGCTTAATTATTTTGAACTGTCTGTGTAATGACATTTGAATTTCCTGTAAAGTGATTTTTTGTTTCATCTTGAAATAATCTATTAGAAGTTTGGTTTGTTGCATATTTTTTCCCATAAGTTCTCTTTCATTCTTATTTCTTTTTTTTTCCCCTCTTCTGTTTTCAATTGCTAATATGATATTATGAATTAATGGTGTTCTTAGTAATACATATCTTTGCTATCAGATCATTGTGATGATAGTGGTGATATTGTGATCCTTTAGCAGAAAAAATGAGCAAGAAGTTGCCCCTAGTTTTTCTGGATGTGTCTATTGATGGCGATTCTGCTGAAAAGATGGTTTTTGAGGTATTTCTATATTTTGAACTAACCTACTATAATATCAAGTCAAATATTTTCTACATATGCAATTAAGTCGAAATTCTTATTGTTTCTTCTAAAGCCTTTGATATTTTGTTTTCAATGTCATATTTATTCCCAAAAATTGAATGGTTGCAATTAGTTCATTGGTGATCTTTGGTGATACAGCTTTTCTCTGATGTTGCTCCCAAGACTGCGGAAAATTTTCGTGCACTCTGTACAGGTAAGTCTTCTGTTGGTATCATAAGTTAAAATTTCCAATACAAGCTTCTCCCTTTCTAATGAGTCATTTTTCTTTCGTGGCTTCATGTTTTACTGTTGATTTGTTGCATTTCAGTATTTTTTTAAATGAAGTCTGACTTGTAACTTCTTTTGTGCATGCTAATCCATTTTGTTGTCGAGATTATTTTATGTGTCTGATACTTAAAGATATCATATTTTACAGGGGAGAAGGGAATTAGTCCTAAGATTGGAAGACCCCTCCACTACAAAGGATCCTTTTTCCATTCCATTATTAAAGGATCAATGGCTCAGGTATGTCCTTTGTTTCTTATGCTTGAGAGTGCTTCAATGGATAGAATGTGATTGATTGCCTACATGCTTAGTTTTTCTGGTTAAGAATGACGTAGATGTGGCCTAAAAATTGTCTTTTAGTCAGCTATCCTTGTTTATGCTGTAGGATACAGGGCTGATGGTCACGACTGCTTTTCTTGTGATGTAGTTTTAAGGTTGTGCTTACTAAGTTGTCTATCCTAAGAAATTTACTAAACTTTGCAGTACCCAACCCAGTTTTGTAGTAAAGGTTTACTTTGTAATTACCAGTTCACTAATTCTTATTATTTATGCTGCAGGGTGGTGATTTTCTTAAACGAGATGGTATGTATTCCTTGGGTTTGACAGTCCTTTTTAATTTTTTACCATTATATTGTTTAGAGGATGCGAATTTCAGGAAAATTATTGTTTGGGTCCCTTCTTTGTCAAGTATTGATAATCAATATTCCATTAATTTGCTTAAATCTTGCTTCTGCATTTGAGAAGGTGAGCAGGACAATTTAACCTTTTCAAGTGGTCAGAATCCTAAATTTTCTGCATACTAACCCTGACTATATATTAAAGAAATTTGTCCACAAATATCTTCATGTTTATTACAGCCTTATTTATACATCCGCATTACTGCATAAGATGGTAAAGTTGACTATGTGACTTAAACTGAATAGGGTAATGGTAATGATCATCTTAATCCATTGTTTAAATTTTGCAGGAAGTTTCGGAGAAAGCATATACGGAGAGAAGTTTCCAGGTGAGATACTAATGTATTCTTGGTTTTCTGTGTGCACCCATTTCTTAGTTGTCATGATGGTCTAGTCAAGATGCCTGTTTTAAAGTAAATAATGAATAGAGCTTCTGCAGCATCTTATTAGGTGTGTGATTCAAATGATTAATAAAATGATGGCCAAAACACACACAGACACAGAGATCTATATATTTCTTATTCCACAAATCATCTGTATCTTGAGAGCAAATGGGTTTCCTTTTGCATTGCCTGTGAAGGTTGGGGCTGACTTTGATCTTACTCTTGGTGCATGGGAGCTTCAACCCAATGAAATTTGGACAATTGTATTTGTCTCTTAAAACGGTAGGGTGTATGGATATTACATCTACCAATGTATATGCGTATTTTGATTTTTTGAGTTGTATGCTATTTAGTACCTGATGTGCTCAAAGTGTGCTTGTTTAATGTTGGCAGGGGTTGTCAGCTTTTTGTTCTTCATTTTATTCAGTTTTTCAGTTTTATTCAGCGTATACTTATGTTTATTTTTCTATATAGCAAGTTAGGGTGCATGAAAAAGTATGGCATCTCTTACTGCATTGATTTGATTTTTTTTTTATTATTATTATTATTTATTTTTATATTCATGTAAGCAGTGGTGGGCCTAGTATGGCTTCATGAATAGACGAATACTTGATTGTGAAGATGGATTCATGTAGTTGACCCAGGAAGTTGAGAATTGGGATCAATGCTTGGTGAATTGAGCTTCTTGTGTCTGCTAAAGTTGCCCCCCTCAAACACACAAATACAGCACCCCCCAAAAACTAAAATATATTTCAATTCTTTCCCCCCTTTTAGTGTGGGTGTTATTTTTGGTAATTATAGTTATTTTTTTGGGAAGTAAAATAATAATAATAATTATACAGGAACATTCCCTTATAATTATATATATTTTTACTTTGCAATAATAAAAAAAAAATTCCTTTTATAAATTACTTCTTGTCCTCTTGTTGTGCCTTTTCTTATTTTAGTAACATTTTCTTTTGTTGCCGATAAAAAAAAAAAATGGTGGGCAGTGAAATGGCCCCCCATTTGTTTCTTTATAGATCTGAAATTTCTACTTTAGTGGAAGATCTGAGTCTTTTGAGTACTTATTGTTTCCAACTTACAGGCTAGCTGGGCTGGCTTATTTCTGTATTTGAATATTTAAGATGTTGCCTGAAGTAAATCAGACGGTAAACTGGCTGAGCCAGTATCACCAAGTGCAAATCAGGTGGTTAAACTAGCTACACATATTTCTAACTATAAAAAACATGTGAAGTTGGAAATCAGTGGAGCTTTAAAGTTGAATCTTTTGGATACTAGACCACATAGGTATATTTCTTGGTTAACTTCTTTCTGCAATAGGTTCGTGTACAAATAAATTTTCTAACACTGATTTAGAATTACATGTTTGTATGGCGGCATGAAAAGTTGGCTGTTAAGCCTGTGAACCATGACTAGCCCCTCCCTCATATCTCAATCCTCTTAAAGAACTTAATTGTGTCTTGTGTCACTTAATGGGCACCCAGACTAGCCATTACCGTTATTATTGTTCATGTAAGCTACCTTTTGCATGAGTGTGTCACCTGTCTCCACTTATGCTGCTACTATTTTCCCATCCCCAGAACTTTAAGGTATGTGGGTGGTACTTCATTTGTGTTGCCTTTTCCAACACCGCAGTGACTACTTTCCTGTCCACCAGCTGCCCAGTTCCACAGCATTATTGGCAGTAACGTTCTGAAAAGCCGTTGCGGTCGCTGTAACTGTGGCGGTGGTGCGGTTGCGGGGTGTAAAGGCCGTAGCGTAATAGTTGCGGTAACCGCAACCGTAAATTTTTTTTATTTTTCGCACAATTTGAAAAAAACCTACCGATACGCATATTTTTTTTCGATATCATATTTATTGGATTTAAAATAAATATTGATCAATTTTTGTAAATTTTTAAGTGTGATCCAATATATTTCATATTTTTAAATCACTATAAGCTGCGTTTTTTACATTTTATTTTAATAATTAATGACTTTATATTATGCAAAAAATCAATCACTAACTATTATATATAAGATAAACAATGACAAAAGTAAGAGAATAAATAAAAGTCTAAATATATATATATATATTTTAACCAAGCCAAATAGATAATGACCACACTTATTATTATTATTATTATTTTCGAACAATATATAGATAGACACACAAACAAAATGGTTGAGTGATAGCAGGTGAATAGAATAGTATAGGTCTTACAGTTTCAACAAATCAATAACTTGTTCTTCATTTTCCATCTTCTCTCTGTCTATCTCTTACTCCTCTATCTTCTGTCTTTATCTTCCCTCTTCTCTCTATCCTTTTTCTCCTATTTTTAGCTTTTTTTTTTGTTTTTTTCGAAAGAAACAGTTTGGAACCGTTACATAACGGTGTGTAACAGACCGTTATGGCTGTTACGGCACTGTTACGACCATTACGGTAGCCGCTACGGCTGACACACCTGTGAATCTCAATCACACTACAAAAGCGGCCGTAACGAGTGGCGGTAACCACCACAACCGTTACGTAACGACGTTTTACGTAACGGTTGCGGCCGTTTTTTAAAACCTTGAGGAACCCAATATTTGCTTCCGTTGTTATTAAATGTGCTTTGATTATAACTGTAACCACAACCATGGTCCATTGTTTTTCTCCTTTACATAAGTGCCTTTCTTTTGTTTCTCATGTAAAGTTTTATCACATTGAGGTGAAATTTTGATGTGCAAATTTTGTGTCATGCAATGTGTTTCATGTGCATAGATTCTCGTAATATTGGAATTGAAGGAGATTAGATCCTGTGTGCGTGCGTGCAAGGTATATATCTAACTAATTTGGCATTGTGTACAAATATCACTTTTGATGGTCAACAAATGCATTCTTGGTGTGTGTTGTGTTTTGTGTTGAGCTTTCTTACTTGGTGAATCTCTTATGTAGACGTGTCTACTCCTTTTATCTATCTCATCAATTAACTGGTGGTAGTTGTGCTGTATTTCAGATGAACCACCATCCAAGCTAAAGCATGATGAGCGTGGTCTTTTATCAATGGCAGTGGCAGATCGCGATGCACGTGGTTCTTTATTTATAATCACCTTCGAGGCCAATCATCAGCTTGACAGGTTTGTTTATCTGAAATGTTGTTAGTATAGCATGCCAGTTGTCCCAGTTGAATTGGATTTAGTTTGAACTTCGAGCACCTACATTTCTATTTTGTACAAGTTAACACTAAGTAGCACACTCCATTTTTGCTTGATGCATGATAAGAAATTTCCATCTTACTTAAATTTTTTGATTGTGGCATATCGTGACAGGAAGTATGTAGTTTTTGGGAAACTTGTGCAAGGGCAAGAAGTTCTGAAGAAGATGGAAACTGTGGGTGACGAAGATGGAAGGCCATCTGTGACTGTGAAGATCATCAATTGTGGTGAATTCCTTGAGGGTGAGAATCAGAGAGCTGTTGTTTTGGCAATTGATTCTGCCTTGTCATGAAATGTTGTTTTGCAGAATATTCCTGTTAGTGGTCTCATGTGTTGTGACATGTTTAAGGTCATCTTGTAGAATATTCCACTTGGATGTCCCAGCTGTTTTTTTTCCCCTCCTGATTTTTCATTGTTTTGTTTATTAGCTGTATATGTAAATGATATAGTGGGTTTTACTACTTGATTTTGTTATCGGGATGTGCAGAGAAAAAGAAAGTGAATAAACTGAAAATGGGAAAGCACAAGAAATCTTCAAGAGACAGAAGGAAAAAGAGAAGAAGATATTATACGACTGAATCAGATACTTCCTCGGATAGCGAGATGGAATCATCTGAATCTGATACTGATTCTGATTCATATACATCGTCATCGTCTCACTTAAGTTCTTCAAGTGATGACAGACGCAAGAAGAGAAAGAGATCATCTAAGAGAGACAGATATAAACGTGGAAAAAGGAGAGACAAGCGGCATGAAAAAAAGCGTAGGAGGCGTGATAAGAGATCAAAGCGCCAATCAAAAAGGTTGTTCTGTGATTGCTAATTATTGTAATGTGTGTTGTCTGTTCTCCATTTTTTGTCCAGAGGCACTGTTAGTAATTTACTAACTCTCCGAACTTAAACTTTTTCCTTACTGAAGTTAGATAAGTGAAACTCTGATCTTTTGACTCTCCCTAATTCACCTCCTTGACCTAGCTAGATACAGAGATGCATATCTTTGAGATTTGCATAATTATTTTCACCTCATTATGTCTCTCCCATTTTGTTAAATCATGTTCTTTTCTGAATTTGAGTTATTATGACTTCTCCATCGGTGTAACTAAGGCTTAGTTTGGCATCTCTAAAAAAATTCAAAAAGTCAAAAAGTCACTATCCTATTTAAGTCGCATCATCTTATTTAAGTCACATCACTTCTCTAACATATCACTTCAAATCCAACCCATACCCAACCCATATTTCATAAAAAGTCAAAAAGTGCACTTATTTAGATCATCCCAAACTACCCCTAAATACCAATAATAGGCACCAATGGATCATTTTTGACGTTTGATGTAGAAAATTCCTTCAACGGTGTATGTGGCTTCACGTTGGATTATAGTGATGCCTCAGAGAGAATATTCCCATTTTACATTATTAGCAAATCGTTGATGCACATATTCCAATTGTACTAAGGTTGCATGGTGATGTTCTATTCAAGTTCTTAATGGTAAAATGAATAATCTTCTAAACTGACTCTGCATGGAGGTGCTGACTGATTAAAGAGTAGTGTTACTTGTGCTACTTTTGTTTTTGTTAATCTTCATTTCTCAAAGCTCATTGCTTGACTTTATTTATTTTTTCTCTGGTTTAATATTTTTGTTCCCTCTTTGCTCGTATTATCCGGTCCGGTAGTGGTGGAGGAACATGTTGCTATTTTTGTTCCCGCTTTGCTTGTTTCTGTTTCAAATCTTTTGATGCAATAATAAGTTTCCTGTTGCTGTTTTTAGTGTTATGTTGTGCTGAAGTTCTCCCTTTTTGCTATATTTTGAAAGGGCATCTGATAGTCTTACTGATACTGAGAGCGAGAGTAAAAGTGAAACTAGATCAGATGATAACGGTGATGCTGATGTTAAGGGTCCAGATCGGAAGCATAAAAACCAGGTTCAGACAAGTGGTATGATTCCTTACCCATGCCATGCCTTTAAAATTTGAGTCTGTTCTGCTTCTCGCCATCTCTTTGCATTTGTTTTAGTAAAGGTATTACATATGGTGGTCCACATGCATTTGAGAAGAGTCTTGTATAATATGTAGTATATATGTATATAAAATTGGTGCTTTTCTTTTCTTTGCAAATTAGTTTAAATGAGTGGTTTGTATGCATTTGTTTTATTGTACGATAAAACACCGACAATATGGATCATTGAAGGGCACCAAGAGATGCCAAAGTAATGTACTTTGTTAGCATAATTTACCCTTATTTTTAATGATGATTTTAAGGTTACAGTATTTGCTAAGATGCTTGTGACCAAGATCTCAATTTTCTTAGATAGAATGCTAATCTTCTTTGTTTCCTTTCCTCCTTTGTAGAATTTTATTAAATGCCTCAGCTGTTTTTTTTATGACTTCCTGTAGTTGGAAATCAATTTCCTTCTGCTGAGGGAGCAGCTTCTATACCTCGTAAGAAGGGAGAGGCAACTGATATATTTGAGACAGAAGAGGGTGAATACCCGAAGGAAAATGGACAGCGGCATAGTAATGGAATAGAAGTGGAAACTAAGTCTGACAGAAGTGCAGATAGGCCTGATGTAGTGGATGATCACCGAGGAAAATCTAGGTTTACTTCCCATTCTTATTACATTTCAGTTATTGTTTATTGTTATGGATTCTTGCAGATATGGTATTTTATCAGAAGTTCATGAGCAGGAGCCGTAGCATTAGTCCTAAGAGGACGATGAGCAAGAGTATGAGTATTAGTCCCAAGAGAAGTTTGAGCAAGAACCAGAGTGTGAGCAGGAGTCGCAGTGTGGATAAGAGCCCTCCACAAGTCTCTCGACGAAGCAGGAGTATCAGCAGAAGCCCCGTGAGAAGTGTCAGCAGAAGTCCTGTAAGAGTTAAGAAGGGAAGAAACATCAGCAGGAGTCCATTCCAAGCCCGGCCTGGAAGAAGCATTAGCAGGAGTCCCACAACATCCCCACCCCGAAGGAGACTTAGCCGAACCCCACTAAGAAGCTCATCAAGGAAGTTATCACGGAAGTCAGAGAGCAGAAGCCCTGTAAGAGTGGTGAAAAGAAGTGTAAGCAGAAGCCCTGTAAGGTCTTCTCGAAGAAGTGTGAGCAGAAGCTCCGGTAGGGCCCCTTCTAGGAGAAGCATTAGCAAGAGTCCAGTTAGGGCACCTGCAAGGAATATTCATCGCAGCTATTCAAGGAGTCCTGTAAGTGCAGGACGTAGAGCAAGGTCTCCTATTTCTGATCGTGGAAGGAGCTCATCAAGAAGTCCTTCCCCAGATGGATCACCTAAGCGCATCAGAAGGGGAAGGGGTTTCAGTGAGCGATTCGCTTATGCACGCAGGTATCGTTCTCCAGATCGTTCTCCTGTGAGGTCCTATCGTTATGGCAGGAGTGATCGTGACAGGTATTACCAGATCTGTATTGTAAATTCATTAGCAAGACCAGTACTTGCATTGTTGTGGTTTTTCTATGAAACGTTATTTACTGTTGCTGTTGATGATCGTTCGTGTTGCTAGATACTACCGGAGATCCCCTAGGCGTTACAGGAGCCCACCCAGAGGGAGAACTCCTCCAAGGTCTGTGATCTGCCTACATTTCTTAAGTTTACATTCACACTTCAAAGTTCATGTCAGTTATTTATTAATTATTATTAGCAGCTTGCTTTTCAATCAATTGCTAAGCTGATTAATCACCCTAGTTGAGTTTGGGCGGCCAGTTTTTATGCTCTTCTAGTTTCATTGATATGTTCATAGGCTTTGTGAACTTGTTAGGCATGCATGACTCCAAATGACACTAGCAAAAACTCATTGGATGCTTGTCAGGATGCGGCAATTACTAATATGGAAATAAAGCGATCACAATTCTAGAAGGATAAGGTGTTATATGCTTATAGTAGTAGAATTGGAAAACGCAGACCAATCATTAGCTAACTGAATTAAAGAAGAAAGGGTGTAGGGAGGAGGTCCATGCCAAAATGCTTGTATTGCATTGAATCCTTGCTTGTGGGAGTTGGGATGTATTCCTGTGCAATTGTTTGGGATGCGGTTCTGTAACGCCCTCAAAATAAATCCATATAACTCAATCATTCATGATATCCATAGACATAGGAAAATAAAATATATTCATCCATCAGAGTATTCTTTACAAAAAGTATTACATGTTGACAACAAAAGTAAATGTCCTATGGGCTTACAAACTTTCCAAGTCAACACTTGGTTTCAACAAAAGAGAGTTTTAACTCTTTAACAGATTAAGCTCTTGGCTTGAATTACATGTAATACAAAAGATAACTACAAAAATAAGCTTTTAGCTTCTCAACCTCCCAAGCTATATCCTTGGAGGCGGCATATCACCTGTACCTAAAAAATGATGTCCCATATAGGGTTAGCCAAAGCCCAGTAGAGATACGCTAAACATAATATGAGAATTAATTAAAACATTAGCATTTGATAAATGTTTAACTCATAAAAATCAACGGACATCTCTTCCATAACCAATCCATAGTCACAACCATGTTTCAATCTCTTTCCGTTTCATTATCCAATCCAATTCATAGATATGGTTCATTGTTTATCCAAACAGTTCAAAATGAGATTACAACTCATACTATCAACACTTCAATCATAATCAATTTATAATGAGACAACAACTCATATTATTACCACTTCAATACTTCAATTCAAAATGAGACTACAACTCATATTAATAACACTTCAATACTTCAATTTATCTACGTTATGCAAACGTAATTAAGATTTCGGGACTTTCACCCTGGACACTCCGGCCAACTTAGTTATCAATGGAGTACATCTCCTATCTCCTCCCAAACAGGTTTGCGAGTACATCCCCTGTCTCCTCCTAAATAAGATACATATGCAATGTATTTAAATGCTTTATCATATACCATGATCAATCTAGGCACATATTCGATGGGTTAATTCAACCGTCATATTCAACGACATAACCCAATTGATTAGTTTCAGTTTTCCCTAATCAACATACAGTCTCTACAACGATTAAAATTATCCTCCACCGATAGCTCAAAACAATTATTTCTAAACAGATAATAAATTTATCAAACAGACAAATTATCAACAATTTCATAGGTGAGTAATTAATCAGTCCAACTATACCATTCAATCACATAATTTCTCAATTTCGTGATTTTCAACTCAATTTTATATTTCCATATTTCTCCAAATTAATTATTTAAACATTATTAGGGCATTCCCCCCTTTTCCTCGAACATCAACCCTAAGGTTCAATTTCATCAATCCTACAACAATAACTCAATTTTTCAAGGTTTCACATACACATGGGGCTCAACAATTGAAAACCCCTCTTTATATATATCAAATCAAACCCTAACTTTTCAAGATTTTTATAACTTCACCATTTATACAAAATGACTAAAATTTATGTTAAAACTCATGACAAGGAGTAGTTTATCCCTACCTCAAAGTGGAAGCTCAAGAAGATGAAGAGTAAAATTGAAAGATGCTCCAAACCCAGAACTTTTCGGATCAAAATGGAGCCCACACGAAGCTCTACCTTTCTTACAAAGAGACTAGGGTAGAAGACCACTAGAACTAGGTGTATTTGTAGAGAGAGCGTGTGTATAGAGAGAGAGTGTGCCGGATCTAGGGTTTTGAGGGAAAAAGGGGATGAAAAGTTAAAGAAGAAACACGCTGCTGCAACTGATATATTCGAGGCTCGCTTGAGCGACCAGACACAACAAACACCTCGTTCGAGCGTAAGAATCCTCGCTCGAGTGAAGAAACACAAAACATAGAGCTCGCTCGCTCGAGGGACAAAAGTCTCGCTCGAGCGAAGAACCTTCAGGTCCAACCCAGATGCAGACGCAGACGAACACTCGAGCGCAAGACTCGTCGCTTAAGCCAAGAGACACAAGACAGAAAGCTCGCTTGAGCGGAAGCTGCGTCTTAAAAGAAAACCGGAAGACCCACAATATTCGCTCGAGTGCAAGAAAGCTCGCTCGAGCGACGAAGCAAATACCCAGGCCTCGCTTGAGCGCAAAGAGCCTCGCTCGAGCGAAGAAGCCAAATTCTGGACAGCAATCATTTGTTCCAACTCACAATCAACCTATACCAAATTCACCCAACACGTCCCAAAACTCAAATATAAAGGATTTAAAGGACGGAAACAAGATATAGACAACAACAACCATGACGGAACTCAAGTCTGGAACAAAGTAAATGATGGGGAAGACCGGGATTGCTATAGGTTCATTGGTCCTCCTTCCATGGTCCAAGTATTTGCACGAGTGTCCGTCTTTATTTATATAGTATTCAAGCATATATATGGGGAGATTTGTGTATCATTCTTGTGGCGATCTCTTCTTTTATAGGAAATTGCTACAGCATTCTATATGAATTTTCTGTATATAAATTATGTTTTTATAGAATTACCTCCTTTTTATTAATTATATATATATATATCTTACTGTCTATTACGCAAATTATTGCTTTAATTAGTTGTTATTGGTTAGTTTACGTGCTGCCAAGCTGATGGTTCAGTTCAGTTATCTTGTTGTGGTCTATTGTTTGTTTGAATTTATTTTTTATTTTTAAATTTTAGATGGGTCTTTTCTCTACTAATGTGATCTTTTAGTCCAATTCACAGAGGCACCAACTCCAAATGGCTTTTAGTTTAAACCTGACTGAGTTGTAGTGGTACCAGTATAGTATAATTGCTCTCTCATCTCTTTTCGTAATGAAAAACTTCATACTGTGTGACACCGGTTTGCAGATACAGAAGCAGAATAAGCAGGACAAGGAGTCCTGTATCAAGGAGCCCAATTCGCTACCGTGACCGCCGTTATAGCCGCAGTCCTATCCGCAGCCATTCTCCTATCGAGACATCTAGATTCCGTGAATCCCCACGTGCTGAGAGGCAGAGGTCACCTCCTCGCAACAGGAGCTCATCAATATCAAGGTCCTCACTTGACTCGCAATCACCTAAGCAGGCAAACAAAGACAGGTCAAGGTCATCTTCTGGAAGCCCCCCTGAGAAGGGGGGTTTGGTCTCGTATGGAAACGGTTCTCCTGACTCGGGCCAGAGGTAAGGATGTGTTTTGATGATTCTAGCAGTGGTTTTGACGAGCTTTGAAATGATCATGATGAATAAAGGATCCAAGGTGTGAGGTGATCGCGACGATTGAAGATGCATGGACTTGTGATGTTTTGACTCCGTTTAGGAGGCTGAACATGTTTGAGAGATGTATGTTGAATAATGATGGATGTTACATTATGTTTCAGTTAATTGTGGCAGTGGATGTTCTTAATAGCCCATTTGCTTAGGCTGTCATTTGAGGGTTAAAAACCTTTTTAATTAGAGAAAATCCAGGTACTTAGTTTGCAATTTTATCTATGTGAACAGGAATGACGTTTAAGTAAAGTTTTATTTGGGTGTGCTATAAGCAGTGGTGTGTTTCTGCTTTTAAATTTGATTTTTTTTTTAATTATCAAAACATGCCCCTGATTTTACTTTTATAGTAATTTTGTTATTGTTTTGTGGTAGCATTTAAATTGAATTTGCATTTTGCTTCATTGCATGGTTTGAGGTCAAGAAGTTGGTGTTGGATCTTCTGGAATGATGGTTTCTAGGCCTCCATTTTATATCTACATTGAAATTGCAATCAGATGGTTCTGAAATTGAAGTTTATGATTTGTTTTGTTTTGCTTCTTCCACAACATGCATGATAAATTTTGTATTTTAAGAAGAAACTCTCCTTGGAGAGAATTTGGTTTTTAGAAAAAAACAAGTGCAAGTCATTGCAAAAAAAATTGAGCAGTGGTGTTACATGTATCAATTAGTATATTAATTAGTATATTAACGTATGTTATGATATTATTATTTTAAAATTATGATTTTATTTATTATATAAATTATAAATATTTAAAATTATTAAAATTATATTATTTTATTTGTTAGTATATTAATTAATATATATAGCATTATTAGGTAGAATTGTTTACTTTATTTGGGCACAAATTTTATTAGTATCTTCATATTTTTGCAATGGATCAAATTTGTCTCTAGTTCAAAGAAATAGGCTAGAGGATCTAATTTGAGTTGTCATATTTATGCAAAAAATAAATTTGATAACGGATTTCAAGACCACATGATCGGTTTATATTTCTATGAAAATTAGATAAATTATTTAAAAAATTATAATTGTGAACTTTTCTTTTCCTTTTTTTGTTTTTAGACACTACAAGAAATAATACTTTTGTCGATCAAAAAATTGGTCGCTAAAAGTTCATTTTTAGTCTGCAAAAGTTATCCGCGACTAATTTTTTTGATCGTCACTTTGGTTGCCAATTGAGGGTCGGCAAAAGTAATTAGCGACCAAAACTTTTGTTAGTCGGGAAAAAATTAGATTTGCTGACTAAATTTTTGGTTGCTAAATATATCATTATTGTGACTAGTCCATTTAGTCGCTAAAACACTTTAGTCGCGAAAAGTAACATATTCCTGACCAAACATGTTAGTCGTCAATTGTTACATTTCACGACCAAAAAATTTGGTCGCCAATTATCACATTCCACGATTAAAAAATTTGATCACCAATTGTGACATGTAACGACCAAAAATTTTGGTCGCCAATTGTAATATTTCACGACCAAAAATTTTAGTCGCTAATTGTGACATTCTACGACATCTTAGTTTGGTAGCCAAAAAGAATGTTTGCGCCAACATACAACAAAATGAACCTGTAATTCATAATAATCTATCCAATCCATTCAATACAATCTATAATTTACAAAAATTAATCAAACCAACAATTCACCTTAATCATGAACATTCAACAAAATATATAAATCATTTAATTCTAAACCTATTTAATTAAAGTTAGCAACTATTACAAATTTTCTTCCACAAATAATTCCAAATTACATATTCCTTCAATTAAAAATCTGCTTGTAATCTATATAATCATCCAATTCACATCCATCTAGCATTAAGATTTAAAACATATTCCCTAAGTGAAGAGTAGAACTCCTTTCCCAGAGCATCAATAGCTTTCATTGATTGAGTAGAAAGAAAATTCTTTTAGCAGTATTCATATCTAGCTACGTCTCTTTCAACTTCTTTCCAGCCCTCATAAGCCCGGACAAGAGCAAGGTGATCATTGTAATCACATGAAAATTGTGCTTTTGGTGCTTCTGCTAGCTGCAAAGAGAAACACACAAATCAATTAGTAAAACAGATAAGATAAGATACTCAATTTTCCAACAAAAGCTATCTATTAGTGAAACCACAATGCCTTGTTACATGTCACTCTAAATAATCTACATAGGAGTTACAAGGTAAAAACTAGATAAATTATAGAATGGATTGGGAGGCAAAAAATAAGTAATTGATGTATTATTGATTGATATCTGATTGATTGTATTGATTGATTTTGATGTATTACAAGATTGATTAATTACAATTCCTATACAATCTATATATAGAAGAAAATGTGGTAGTAGGTGTAGTGGAGGTGATAGTGGGTTAGGTGAAGTGGAGTGTGTGGTGAAGTGGAGGTAGGTGAAGTGGAGTGTGTAGTAATACTGATGTATTATTATTGATTGTATTGTTACAAGATTGATTAATTACAATTCCTATACAATCTATATATAGAAGAAAATGTGGTAGTAGGTGTAGTGGAGGTGATAGTGGGTTAGGTGAAGTGGAGTGTGTAGTGGAGTAAGTGAAGGTAAAGATTGATTGATGTATTGATGTATTACAAGATTGATTGATTACAATTCCTATACAATCTATATATAGAAGAAAATGTGGTAGTAGGTGTAGTGGAGGAGATAGTGGGTTAGGTGAAGTGGAGTGTGTAGTGGAGTAAGTGAAGGTAAAGATTGATTGATGTATTGATGTATTACAAGATTGATTGATTACAATTCCTATACAATCTATATATAGAAGAAAATGTGGTAGTAGGTGTAGTGGAGGAGATAGTGGGTTAGGTGAAGTGGAGTGTGTAGTGGAGTAGAGGTAGGTGAAGTGGAGTGTGTAGTAATACTGATGTATTATTATTGATTGTATTGTTACAAGATTGATTAATTACAATTCCTATACAATCTATATATAGAAGAAAATGTGGTAGTAGGTGTAGTGGAGGAGATAGTGGGTTAGGTGAAGTGGAGTGTGTAGTGGAGTAAGTGAAGGTAAAGATTGATTGATGTATTGATGTATTACAAGATTGATTGAATTACAATTCCTATACAATCTATATATAGAAGAAAATGTGGTAGTAGGTGTAGTGGAGGAGATAGTGGGTTAGGTGAAGTGGAGTGTGTAGTGGAGTAAGTGAAGGTAAAGATTGATTGATGTATTGATGTATTACAAGATTGATTGAATTACAATTCCTATACAATCTATATATAGAAGAAAATGTGGTAGTAGGTGTAGTGGAGGAGATAGTGGGTTAGGTGAAGTGGAGTGTGTAGTGGAGTAAGTGAAGGTAAAGATTGATTGATGTATTGATGTATTACAAGATTGATTGAATTACAATTCCTATACAATCTATATATAGAAGAAAATGTGGTAGTAGGTGTAGTGGAGGAGATAGTGGGTTAGGTGAAGTGGAGTGTGTAGTGGAGTAAGTGAAGGTAAAGATTGATTGATGTATTGATGTATTACAAGATTGATTGAATTACAATTCCTATACAATCTATATATAGAAGAAAATGTGGTAGTAGGTGTAGTGGAGGAGATAGTGGGTTAGGTGAAGTGGAGTGTGTAGTGGAGTAAGTGAAGGTAAAGATTGATTGATGTATTGATGTATTACAAGATTGATTGAATTACAATTCCTATACAATCTATATATAGAAGAAAATGTGGTAGTAGGTGTAGTGGAGGAGATAGTGGGTTAGGTGAAGTGGAGTGTGTAGTGGAGTAAGTGAAGGTAAAGATTGATTGATGTATTGATGTATTACAAGATTGATTGAATTACAATTCCTATACAATCTATATATAGAAGAAAATGTGGTAGTAGGTGTAGTGGAGGAGATAGTGGGTTAGGTGAAGTGGAGTGTGTAGTGGAGTAAGTGAAGGTAAAGATTGATTGATGTATTGATGTATTACAAGATTGATTGAATTACAATTCCTATACAATCTATATATAGAAGAAAATGTGGTAGTAGGTGTAGTGGAGGAGATAGTGGGTTAGGTGAAGTGGAGTGTGTAGTGGAGTAAGTGAAGGTAAAGATTGATTGATGTATTGATGTATTACAAGATTGATTGAATTACAATTCCTATACAATCTATATATAGAAGAAAATGTGGTAGTAGGTGTAGTGGAGGAGATAGTGGGTTAGGTGAAGTGGAGTGTGTAGTGGAGTAAGTGAAGGTAAAGATTGATTGATGTATTGATGTATTACAAGATTGATTGAATTACAATTCCTATACAATCTATATATAGAAGAAAATGTGGTAGTAGGTGTAGTGGAGGAGATAGTGGGTTAGGTGAAGTGGAGTGTGTAGTGGAGTAAGTGAAGGTAAAGATTGATTGATGTATTGATGTATTACAAGATTGATTGAATTACAATTCCTATACAATCTATATATAGAAGAAAATGTGGTAGTAGGTGTAGTGGAGGAGATAGTGGGTTAGGTGAAGTGGAGTGTGTAGTGGAGTAAGTGAAGGTAAAGATTGATTGATGTATTGATGTATTACAAGATTGATTGAATTACAATTCCTATACAATCTATATATAGAAGAAAATGTGGTAGTAGGTGTAGTGGAGGAGATAGTGGGTTAGGTGAAGTGGAGTGTGTAGTGGAGTAAGTGAAGGTAAAGATTGATTGATGTATTGATGTATTACAAGATTGATTGAATTACAATTCCTATACAATCTATATATAGAAGAAAATGTGGTAGTAGGTGTAGTGGAGGAGATAGTGGGTTAGGTGAAGTGGAGTGTGTAGTGGAGTAAGTGAAGGTAAAGATTGATTGATGTATTGATGTATTACAAGATTGATTGAATTACAATTCCTATACAATCTATATATAGAAGAAAATGTGGTAGTAGGTGTAGTGGAGGAGATAGTGGGTTAGGTGAAGTGGAGTGTGTAGTGGAGTAAGTGAAGGTAAAGATTGATTGATGTATTGATGTATTACAAGATTGATTGAATTACAATTCCTATACAATCTATATATAGAAGAAAATGTGGTAGTAGGTGTAGTGGAGGAGATAGTGGGTTAGGTGAAGTGGAGTGTGTAGTGGAGTAAGTGAAGGTAAAGATTGATTGATGTATTGATGTATTACAAGATTGATTGAATTACAATTCCTATACAATCTATATATAGAAGAAAATGTGGTAGTAGGTGTAGTGGAGGAGATAGTGGGTTAGGTGAAGTGGAGTGTGTAGTGGAGTAAGTGAAGGTAAAGATTGATTGATGTATTGATGTATTAC